CGTGGAAGGTTCGTGAACATGATATTCATTATAGAAATTCGAGACTGATGGTGAGCTGCAGCCGGAGTTGGAGACGACAAGAAAGACTTTCTTCTTGTAGTTTTAGTGTATTGCACGCGCAATGCATTTTTCGTCCGCGTCCGTTTGACTGGAAGTGCCCAAGCCTGCCAAGACTCTTCGACTAAACTCCGGCAGGCTTAGAGAAAATTTCATCAAAATTCCAAATAAAGTGTGGCTGTACCGGTACTATAGATTAGATTGCCAAGCTTATCAGATTCTTATCTCAGTAGCCGCTTCGGTTCCGTTCCTCAATGACACTAAACTTGCTCTTGCTCTCCCCTCCCATTGCCCCCAAAACAAAGGCAACTCCCAACCCCATTAGTGCAACCCGCTTCCACACAAACTTGCTGTACTCCCACTACTATGGCCCCCAAAGCAAAGGCGCCGGCAACTACAAACCTCATTGGCGCGACCTCGCAACAGTCCCGCTTCCACACCGAAACACTCGACACCAGCCTTGAGATCGATCTGAAAGGAGTTACAATTTCCATCGGTGAAAATGAACTCATATCTAGCTCCCATCTTCGTCTCAAGGATGGCATTCGCTACGGCTTGGTTGGCAGGTGGGGACTCATTCAAGCTCTGATCAATATAAGTAATTTGCTTTGCCTGTAGAAATGGATCCGGGAAGTCGACGCTTCTTACGGCTATTGCGGACAAGCTCATCCCCGGGCTGAGCCCCTCCATTAAGATTCTGTTACTCTCGCAGGTGGAGGATAGCGCCAGAGCCACCGAGAACTTGAAGCCGGGCGAAGATTCTACCAATGTTCTTGAGCATGTCGTCAAAGGCGACAAGCAACGGCAGGCTGCAGTGGAAGAGCTTGAAGGTGCTTACAATACCTTGATTCTCCGATATACATATGTTGAATATTTCCGAATTAGCTTTAACGAAGGCGGTCGAAAGTACGTCTCTCCGGGAGACCCAACGTATCGTCTATGGTCTTCGTCTCGAAAAGCGGCGCTATGAGCTACAGGAGGCTAAGAAAGTCGCGAGCCGACGATCAGGCGCGCGCGGTAAAGACGCCCGACTGGAGGAGATCAAAGCAGAGGAGAATGTCAAGAAGGCCGAGATTCTGTGAGACAGATTGTGTGTTCTGTGGCTTCCGGACTGATACTTTGCACAAGACTCGAAGAGGTTGACAACGCTGACATTGAGGCCGACATTATGAATCAGGCTCTGGAGATGCTGCAAGACATCCAAGTCACATTGGAACTGGTAAGATTTGAGATAATTTCAGGTCGTCCGATTTTTTCATTTTCCTATGAAGCTCGAAACATCGTCTACAGAAGCGCGAGCTGCGACTATTCTCTCTGGCTTGGGTTTCACCCAAGAAATGATGGAAGGCCCATACACATCTCTGTCTGGCGGATGGAGGTCTCGTTGTTCACTTGCGACGTCCCTTCTTGTCCATAGTGACGTTTTACTGTTGGACGAACCGTCCAATTTCCTAGTGCGTTCTTACTACTTATGCGAAAATTTCCTCACTAAATGAGTACTTAGGATCTCGAGGCAATCATCTGGCTCGAAGGCTTCCTGAGCTCCGAGCCGCGAACCCTTGTGCTCATTTCACACGACCAAGACTTTTTGAATAACGTCGTGGAAGAGACGATCATCCTGCGGAATAGGAAGCTTGAATATTTCGAAGGCACCCCTGCCGCCTTTGAGGTCAATGAGCGCAAAGAGAAGAAAAGACTCACGGGTGCTCAAGAAGTTCTGGACAAGAAGCGGGAGCATGTACGCAACAGCGCATCTTCTAAATTTGACTCTGAGCGTTCTGCACAGATCGAAAAGTCAATCCAGCAAGGTATCGCCAGTGCCAAGAAAACTGGGGATGAGAACAGGTAGTTCACCTATTCGGATGTTCTTACTCCCGTTGATCATTCATTGCAGACAGCGGATGGTAAAAACACGGCAGAAAAAGTTGGTGGTCTTCGTATGCATCGGGTTCCGCTCACATAAATCATCAGGCTGGATGAGCGCTGGGGAGCAGAGACTAGTGCGAAAGGGACGCGCTTCAAGCTCAATCGCGACATGGCTGGTTACTTTAATACAAACCGTCTCGAGATCGACAAGGTTATCGCGGAGCCGAGGATTAAAATCAATATCGATAGTCCAGAAAAACTGCGAACAGCCGGGGATCTGATACACTTCGATGCGGTGGAATACAGATTCCCCAAGGCGAAGAAGCCGTTCTTGGAGGATATCACATTCACGATCAACCAAGGCGGCCGATGTGCACTTGTCGGCGCGGTGAGTGTTTGGTGGTATTTGATACGGGATTATCGCTGACTTGGACTTTGCAGAACGGACAAGGAAAATCAACGATTGCGAAGTTGATCATGGGTACCCTTAAGCCTACCAAAGGAGCCATTGTCCGACATCCACTTCTCAAAATTGGCTACTTCTCTCAACACTCCGTCGAGGAACTCTCCGGCCCTCTGACCCGAGCATCTGGGACTGGACCAGTGACGGCATTGTCATATTTCATGGAATACTTCGAGGCCAAGGGCGAGACAGTCGTCGAGCAGGACGCCCGGAAGTGTTTGGGATCATTCGGACTCCAGGGCAAAATTGCGAGTGACGCCCCACTTTCCCAGTTAAGCGGTGGGCAAAAGGTCTTTTGCTCTTAAGTTGGGATCGAACGCGCAAGCTCACCGTTGGCGATAGGTCCGGCTTGCGATAGCGCTGATTGTATTCATACCCCCTCCGCTGCTGCTGCTCGACGAGGTAACCACGCACGTGGACTTTCCGACCATCCAGGCCCTGGCTTCGGCACTCAGGACGTTTACGGGTGGGATAATCATCATAACGCACGACCGGTAGGTGGTTTCTTGGCTTCCTATGGCGTTCGATTTACGCCGATACGCTAAGGTGGTTTAGCCGCGTTGTCATCGAGGGCGAATCACTTCGGCATGCTACAGCAGACGACGAGGATGCGACAGACGATTCGTCCAGCGACGAAGATGATGTTACCACCCCGCCTGGAAAGACATATCGTGTGGGTGGTGGAAAACTGAAATTGATGGAAAGGGGCATGGCGCAGTACGTTGCGCTGGTTGAACGGAAGCTGGCGAGGAAGAAAAGGGAGGATGCGAAGACTTGACCTGGCCTCGTTTCTTAGTGTGATATTTGTGTACCGAAAATGCTGAATCTCCATCGGATAGGGATTTCCACCGTGCCGCAGGCAGTGACGCGTTCAAGTGGCGCCCCGGGAAAAAATGGAAATTTTCACGACAGACGCTCGATCTGGCTTCGTCAACGAAGCCAGGGTTTTCCCTTGTGTCACTGTGCTACGGGATAGCTAGGGAAAGGGCTGACCGTTACACCATTGTAGGTAAGCTGGTGTGTCTTATTCTTGGTGGCAGCATACCTCACCACTGACGCCGTGGCGGAGGTTGGTGAAATTTTAGTCCTTTGATATGGGCACAACATGAACGCAGTAAACACTCGAGAAACCACTCTCATTGTCCTGCTGTTCCGTGTTGAATCGTGTCCAACACACACTGCATAATAGATTAAATTACTGTAGAGGAATCAGGAATGTGCTACCAGACGCAAAACCATATGTCGATCGCGCCCCAGCTCTCTGCAAACCGTTAACGGTCTTCTTTTTTATTTCCTTATAAAATCCGCATCTTTCACCGGAAGCTCTAATACTCTTTTTTGGGACTCACAGCAAACTCACAGGCAGCTGAAGGTGACAATGGGGAGCATTGGTAGTCTCTTGACAGACTCCCTCGCTCGTTCCTCGTTCTGTAGAGCATTGGGGGATGTCACGCGTCTGTCCGTATCGTCACGTGTCTGTCCGTATCTGGCCAGTCATTCTCGCAGCCAAGAAAGGGAATAATGTTTTATGTGGTGCTCCAGCCCCACATCAGCGTCCTTTGGCGTATTATCTACCTGTAAAAACCAAACGATGCAGAACTAAACTTTTTAACAACTCATTGGTCCAATTCTGGACACCGCACGACTGGTAATGAGACCAAATGATATCTGAACTGTGTCTTGAAATTTTGGTCGGTATCTCCCTGATGAACAGACACCACTTTGAGTTCAAACTATCATTATTCAGGTCCCACATCTGTGCACTAATACTTGTACCCATTTGGAAGAGAATCAGGTATGGACTGTTTCCAATTCCAGTCAGCATAAATATTGATTCAGTAGATATTGAATTTGCCCTATCTCCTGTGATGTGACTTGGGATGCCTGGGGTTCTGAATTTAATTTTTATAGTACCAGTACATGGTCTACTGACTTACTGTAGATTAGGATTAATGTAGAAGAATAGACACTGTAAAAATTCATCAAAGACTAATATCAGAGCAATTCCTAGATGGTGTAGCAGAAGTAGCAGATACATATACCATCCACAATGTGCAACCTGCTTTATGCAGGATAATCAGTCATCTTCTTGAGATTCATGATTCAGCCTGCAACTGAAAATGGTGAATGTTGGAATGATTATGAAGTCATATCTTCTCCAAGTCTAAAGATAAAACACATCCTTCTCTTAGTCTTACCTTCAAGTTCCTGTAGCCACCCCTTTAATTATATTGGGTGCACGGAGGGGATCAAACTGAACCAAAACACCCTATGATCTTGGGCCATGATTGATGATCTTCAAGTTGATCTGGTTCAACATGAGCCATTAAAGTGTCACCTGTCCTTCTCCTCCTCACCCATCCTCTAAGTTCAATCGTGAGATGTCTATGTATCATTGCATTGTTGATATGTAGGCTATCACAGCATGTGGGCCATTGACAATTGTAGCATACATTAGGGTGTTGTGTATGTAGATATAGTACCTGCTTGTTCCTTATAGGGACCTCCACAGTAATACTATCCTGTTCCTGCTCCTCCTAGGTGATCTAACAATGATATTAATAGAAAATGTGTCTCCGGAGATATTAGTTCTTCCTAGCCGTAGCCACTTACTGCCCCCGTTGTCTAATGGTTATGACGTCAGACTTCTATGCTTTGTCCCGTATCTGGGTCCTTAAGTAAAACGATTATCTGGAGGTTGCGGGTTCGAGTCCCGCCGGGGGTTCGCTTTGCTCTTTTTACATGGTTTTACATGGTTTTACCCTTTTTACCCTTTTTACGAAAGAAACACACCCAGACAAGGATAAATTTGCACTCAGTCCGAAATTTTGAACTCACTCACCATATTTCTTGACAAGATACATGTCCAAAATTGCACTTAGAAGCTCCTCCTTACCACGGTGCGAACGCACCCGGTTTCATACGATTTGGTTAAGAAATGAGCCCGGAATGGGCTTGCGTAGTTGGGACATCAATTTTTTTTTTTTTTTGCAAACAGGTAGACATTGGGTAGACAGGGTGTCCCTACACTGACAGACCAAAAGAAAACACTAGGTTCCATACTAAGGCCTACTGGGCACCCCCTGGTACCTTGCTGAACTTGGAACTATAATCAGAACTCAAGACTGCAGGAAAACTCGTTCGCAACTCTGGTTCAGCCTTGTTCCTCGGCCAACTCGACTCCCTCGCTCGCCTGCCAGATGCCGAATGTAGGATAAAATGTACCCAACTCGTTTTCCTGATTTCCGTTCGGATCACAGGCCGGGCCCCATATAGACGAAATTAATCCAGAAAACCCTGAAATTCATCGGAAAATCGAAATAAATAATTGTTTATGTTCTTGTGCTCCACCTTGCACTCAGGTCCCTGACTGCTCCCCTGCCCCCAAGAAACTCAAGAAAAAGAAGCATTTATCCTACATTCTGCATCTGGTGGGCGAGCGTGGAAGGTGAGTTGGCCAAGGAATGAGGCTGAAGGAGACTTGACTCGGACGCTAGATATTGGGATGAATCCAGTCGAAATATCACACTCGCACTCAAAAGCCCTGGGAGTTGTGCAGTGTACATACATAGGGTTCAAATAGCAACACAGATGGTTCAGCTCCAGGAGAGACAGGTCTGAAAAATTCTGTAGAGCTGTACCAAAGTCAATGGTTGTGTCTCTGCAGACCTGGACTTCAGATGTGTCCATGAGGAAAGAACAGCCTCCAATATTCCATAATAGTGCTTCCAATGTTCCCTGTGAATAGTTATTCTCTGTAGTTAAATTTATGGAGGTCTCGAATGCAGATGTAATTGTGACTGGATCATTGAAATCAACTGATTCTGAGCAAGAAAAACAGGATAGATTACGCACAAGCAGTGTTAGAACAGAGCCCAGATGGATGTATAGGAGACCGCAATGGAGGCCTGCCGACAGCACCGCCGGCAGCCGTGGGGGTGAGAAGATGCAAAAGACTGTGAAGGCTAAATAGGGGCTTAACCGGCCAGATGGGCCGGTGATCCGGCTCGACTACCGATCGAGCTCGATCGCTCCGCCAGAACTCAAGCTTTCCACGTCGGCAAAGCCAGAGCGCACCTACCGCCTCCTACCGCTCCCAGAGCAAAGGGAACGACTTTTCAACGAATTTACTATTCGTTCTTTAGCGTTTCTTCCATCCTCTGACTCTCCACGTTCGCTGGCTCTCAGTACTCGGTGGTATCTTGACTTTGCGTTCAAACATTCAAAACTCAGGATTTTTTCTCTGCCACCCGTATAGTGCGACACGCACGATAACTCGGCCTTGAAACAGTGCTGTTATAAAGGCCCTTTGCTGTCACGAACTCACTTTTCGCTGCACATCCCATCCTGTTTGGCGCCTCCTAGCCCAGCACAATCGCCGTTCCGAGTCCGCTAGTCGAGGCATATCTGCGTAACGAGAAATCGTGAGGTCCTCTTAGACTTGGTATCAGAAGTTACGGAACTTACCCTCTTCATACAGGCAACGTTGCGAAGATATTTTAGCTATCGTCCACAATGAGTTCCCCGCCCAGAGATGAAGAAGGGGTGCTGTCGAGCTCGCCAATATCGATTCGTGGTGGCTCCCCGGCCCGTCGCAGAGCAAGCCTCAGCCGCAGCGAAAGCGACATCTCTCGCTCCCGCCACTCACCCACCCTCGCTCGTTCAATTGATCCCAACGACCCTCAGTTCAGAGAACGCCAGCGCACCATGGACGTAGACATGGCCATGCAACTTTCCCGTGCCCGCAGAGAGACCACATCCCCAGTCTCCGAGCCGACCGAGACCCTCTTCCCCTCACTTTCAACTCACGAACAGCACCAAATCGACCTCGCGCGCGGAGAGCTAGAAGAACAACCAGAAAACGTGGCTCCAACGCCATCATTCATGGAAATGAACCACATCTCCGCGCACGACCCGACACTCCTAGTACACGAGTCGCATCTCCGCGCTGCGCCCTCAACGGCATTTGGCGGCCTGCCCACTTACCAACCGAACGCCTCCCAGTCAGAATTCGATTTTACCCCGATGGACGAGTTCGCCACGGTGGAAAAAGCCCGCCTCGAGCTGACCTCTCCAAAGTTCTCGCTGAGTGCCCTACGCGCGCGCACGGTTGCGCCTGACTCTGACGACATCGACATAGCAGAGGGCTCCTCGGACCCCCAGCGCCGCTCGTCCCCGCAACGCAAGCTGAGTCACAGCAATCCCCGGCCAAGGCACCACCGAAAAGGCGGTGGTGGCAAGATGGCGCTGTTTGAGGGGAACACGGGCGATCCACCGCCGCCCTTCATTGACGGTGCACAAACAACTACCGGCATCCCGGGAATCCTGCACACCGGGCACGACCGGCCGTACCGCTTTTCCTTCTACTCCAATGCGCTCTCGGCGACGATACACGCGCGCAGCATGAGCGAGCTCCCCGCGGAGGGCCAGTCGTTCACCGACCTCTTCTCGGGTGTGCCTCCGCCGCGCGAACAAGCCGCTGCGCGGGACCGACCAACGCGGCCTGGGCCGACACCAGTAGTGGGGGATAAAACGCCGAGGCACTCCAACTACGGCAACCACCACCGGCATGGTGCGGCCGATGCAGAGTCGAGCACCTGGTGGCTGGACGTGCAGAGCCCGACGGACGACGAGATGAAGATGTTGAGCAAGGCAGGCAGGCCCCCCTCATCGTCCTTCACTTGTTAACGTGCTCCCAGGTGTTCTCCATCCACCCACTCACGACCGAGGACATCCAGATGGAGGAGACGCGCGAGAAGATCGAGCTGTTCCGCAACTACTACCTTGTGTGCTTCCGCTCCTTCGACCAGGACCCGTACAGCCCAACGCACCTCGAGCCACTCAACATGTACATTATCGTCTTCCGCGAGGGCACGCTCTCGTTCCACTTCCGCCCGACGCCGCACCCGCAGAACGTCCGCCGGCGCATCAAGCAGCTCAAGGACTACATAAGCGTCACGTCCGACTGGATCTCGTACGCGCTCATCGACGACATCACCGACGCGTTCGGGCCACTCATCCAGGGGATCGAGTACGAGGTCGACAGCATCGACGAGCTTGTGCTGATACTCAAAGAGGCGGAGCAGAGCGACATGCTCCGTCGCATTGGTACCTGTCGCAAGAAGGTTATGGGGCTTCTGCGGCTCATGGGCAACAAGGCGGACGTCGTCAAGGGTCTCGCGAAGCGGTGCAACGAGCATTGGCGCGTCGCGCCGACGTCGGACATCGTGGGTCCTTACTTATATCACTACAAGCATGAATTTCTAACGCCAGCAATCGCAGGGACTGTATCTGTCGGATATCCAGGTGAGCGGCACGATGATGCATAATAGGCGGCCTACTAACGGGCCTACGGCGCAGGACCATCTCATCACGATGACGCAGAACCTGAACCACTACGAAAAGATCCTTTCGCGCTCGCACTCGAACTACCTCGCCCAGATTTCCATCGAGATGACCGACGCGAATAACCAGATCAACGACGTGCTCTCCAAGCTCACCGCCCTGGGAACGGTGCTCATCCCGATGAATTTAGTAACAGGTGAGCGGCCCTGTGAGCACCTTCGCCCGAGTCTGATTTGCGGGAAGGTCTGTGGGGCATGAATGTGCATGTACCCGGGCAAGATGTTCCTGTACGCATTTGTTTACCCGTCATCACTTCCCAGCTTATAGAACTGTGCAGGGGTACGCATGGTTCGTCTCCATCATCGCAGGGCTCGCGGCGTTCGCCATCATCGGAGGATACTCTACTTATAAATTTATGGTCAATAGACGATAGAGTCGGACATTATTATCCGGATAGCATAACGGAATCTACTCTGGTGTACAAGTGTTAACAGGACGAGACGGGGTACTGAAAGCATAATACGACAAAATAAATACACATGCGCCAGAGGAACGAAGAGAACGGGAAAACAATGTGCTAAGATCCGTTCTGCGTGCGTGGCGCCATCAGAACGTGGTTCTGAAACGGATGAGCGCGGGGAGAGCTCTGCAGGGAAGCGCGAGGAGAGTTCTGCAGGGAAACGGGGATGACGATCCTCGCGAGCGATGGCGACAGTCTCTGCGGCGAGTCTTGCGTCGACGAGCTCTGGCGTTTGGGCTCGGGAGGAGGCGGAGTGAAGTTATTGTAGTTTCCGTTTCTCTCTGGGGAGGAAGGCTCCGGCGGCGCGGCGCGCCTATTGGGGTAAATAGGGACGGGCTCCTGGAACGCGTGCAGCTCCTCCAGCTTGCGCTTCTTCGACGTAGCGCTGGGTGGCGAGCCCTCCGATGGACCGCCCCAGCGAGACCAAGGTGGAGGCGGTGGGGGAGCAATCACAGCAGACGAAGACGAAGATGAGGTGGATGGGACGCTTTCCGGCGCAGAGGTCATTTGTGCATCGGCAGGTCCCGACCGTGCGTGTGGATGACGATAGGGTTGCGGGCGGAAGACGGAGCGAGACGAGCGCTCAGGGGTCTGGGCGGAAGGGCGACTACTGGAAGAAGATGAGCTACTCTCCGAGATCACAACCTTGACAATCTCGATGAACAATGTTTTGGTAAACGGCGGGGTTAGGGTCTTGAAGATGAGTTCTTTGGTGCCCTTGTCCATCATTTTTCTCACATCCACGTACTGATCTGACGCCTTTCGTAGTTCAGCTGGAGAAAAGATCAGACTCCTGAGAATAAAAAAAGAAGATAGGACGGACGAGGAGCTCTGACTCGAACTTCCGCATGCGGATATGT